AGTTTATTATAAGGGAAAATATTTAGAGTAGTATAAGTTATAGAATAAACGATAGGAGGAATGAAAAAATTGATAAATTTAAATAGGTAAGATATGTGGATTATCCTCACGATGAAACACTAAATGAGTAAACACTAAGTAAAATAATAGATATAAGTGGCACTTATAAAAATGGATTAAATGAAAGTAGGTAGAATTATATTATAGAGATTAAAGTATTGGAATAGTTGTGATGATCACTGGAGTCACTTTAGGATATTTTTAAAATTATTGAAACACGGTAATTTAGTTGAGACTATAGAAAGATAAAATATTTGCACTTGGGAAATAGTTATTTATACTTGGAAAATAAAAATGGAAATGTCTGATAGTAAGGAAGTAATATTCTCACAAATAGTCTTAAGAGAGAAGTATGGGAAAAGTAGGTAGGGATTCGTAAACAACTGGAAGAGGAGAGAACTGGATAGATTCTTTAACATAAACAGAAGAGTCTAAAATGAGGATCTAGAGAAGCTTTGTAATAAACGCTTGGAGGGGGGAGGTAATGTGTTATGGGAGCAGGCGAAGATAATAGGTAAAACTAAGGGACGACCCTAGCTCAGCTTTTAATTTTTCCTCATTTAGTAATTTTCTATATGAGGACTAGACTCCATTTAGGGGATTTTTCCCTTTTGGATCTAAACCCAGAGGTTAATACTCAGGGTTTGTTGAATGACTGCCTCTTGTATATGAGAGGATGGGGTATGTTTGGTATGAAAGTGGTAATTGTGAAGGGGGCTCATCCTCAGAATAGAAAGAAGTTCAGAAAAAGGATTAAAAAAGAGAAATGGTTAAAGTTATATCGTTAAATGTTCAGGGTTTAAATTCCCCTAGTAAACGAGCAATTTTGTTCGATTATATTAAGAAAGAAAAAGCTCATATCGTCTTTTTACAGGAGACACACTGGAAAAGAGATGATAAGTTTAGATTCATTCCACAAAGTTTCTCAACAGTAATATCCACCACATTAGAGAATCAGAGGAAAAGAGGAGTAGTCATTATGATAAGTGAGGACTTAGATGCTAAAATCATATATCAAGAATCAGATGAAGAAGCTAGATTTATTATAGTGATAATTAAAATCCAATCAGAAATTTATACATTGGTAAATGTGTACGCACCTAATAATCCCTCTAATAAATATTTCTATAACCTTTTTGATAAAGTAGATAAAATAAAACAGGGTAAATTACTTTTGGCGGGTGACTTCAATCGGATCCCAGATGTAAATATGGATAGGAAAACCTTAAATCCTGAGGGGTCAATTAAAGGGGTAACCGCAAAAGCTGTACAATTTCAAAGGATAATTAAGAAATATGGATTCATGGATATATGGCGAGTGCTTCATCCACTGGAGAGGGATTTTACATGCTTCTCCAGAGCATATTTCTCATACTCAAGAATTGATTTATTTTTGGGTAGTGTTGGATTTATTAATAGTACTAAAAAAGTTCTTATAGATGAGGTAACTTGGTCCGATCATAATGCCATAATCTTAGAGTTGGACATAGTGGATAATAGTGCAAGACGTACCCATTGGAGATTAAATGATAATATTCTTTCCAGTAAGGAAAATAGAGAATATATAGAGGAGATGACAGATAGCTTCTTTCAGGAAAATGAGGGGGGAGAAGTATCACTGCCGATGGTCTGGAATGCATATAAATGCGTCATAAGAGGCTATTTAATTAAGTTAGGTACAATCGATAAAAAAAAAAAGGGGAGACCCCTGAAGGATTTATATGTAGATTACTATAACTTATCGAATGAAAATAAAATTTTACCAACTCAGGAGAAAAGTATAAATATGCTATTATTGCAGAATCAAATAAATGAATTATTAATTGAGGAAAAAAAGAGAAATCTCCAACTCCTAAAGATTAATTGGTATTATAAGAGTAACAGGGCGGATAGGCTGCTTACAAATAAATTGAAAAACAAAAAACAAATGCGGAGGATTCATAAAATTGAGGAAGGAAAAGAAACGTTATTAAGTCCGAAAAAAATTGGGTCAGCTTTTAATGACTATTATAGTCGATTATATAACTTAGAATCAGTGGGACAACAACCCCCATCTTCAGAGTATTTTAAAAACAAAAAAATGCCAAAAATAACTAGGGAACAACTCAACGAGATAAATAAACCAATAACCCCAGATGAAGTTATAGTAGCTATAAACAAGTTACAGATAAATAAAGCCCCTGGTCCAGATGGTTATTCAAATAAATTTTATAAAATATTTAAAGATACCCTTTCGACTCGTCTCGCTAGGATATTTAATATAATAGTGGAAAATTGTGTGTTTCCTAGGGAGATGCTTCAAGCGAATAACGTTCCTATTTTGAAGCCGGATAAGGATCCAGCAAAATTGGTGAATTATCGTCCAATATCGCTTTTAAATGGGGATGTAAAGATTTACGCCTCAATTATTGCAGATAGATTAAAAACATGTATTCCGACTTTAATACATCAGGATCAAGCTGGATTTGTATACGGCAGAGTAGCATCAGACGGATTAAGAAGAATAATTGATGTACATGACGCTGCGAATAGGAAAAGAGCTCCCCTTCTGACCCTGTCATTGGATGCTGAGAAAGCATTTGACAGGGTCAGATGGGACTTTCTGGGAAACACATTGAAATCATATGGCATAGTAGGAACAGTTTATGATGCCATTATGGCACTATACACAGTTCCTTCGGCAAGGACCATTGGCCCTGGGATAGAGGCAGATTGGTTTACTATTAAAAACGGAACCAGGCAAGGATGTCCTCTTTCCCCGTTACTTTATGTTCTGACCATTGAGCCTCTTGCAGAAGATATAAGACAAAACGGAAAGATTGAGGGGTTTTGGCTTAATAATCTAGAACATAAGATTAATCTATATGCGGATGATGTCATGCTTATGATGCAGAATCCTAGATCATCATTGCCGGAATTGATAAGAATACTAGATCATTATAGTGTATTCTCAAATTATAAATTAAATATTAACAAGACCACAATAATGACAACTAATTTATCCAGGAAAGATAAGGATTTTATTAAAATATCCTATGATTTTGTCTGGGTTAAGGAATATATTTCATTCCTTGGCATAAAAATAACAAGAGATATGAATAGAGTTATTGAAGTTAATTTTCTTCCTCTTATAAAAAATACTTATAAATTATTAAAAGAATGGGCAGGTAAGGAGATTTCTTGGATAGGCCGCATAAATACTATTCGATCATATATTTTGCCTAAATGGAACTATCTTTTTAGAATGATACCTATACAAGTTCCCAATCCATGGTTAAAAATGATACAATCAGCCTTTTCTAAATTTATTTGGAAAGGTAAAAAACCAAGAATAAGTTTACAGTTAATATCTAAGAAAAGAAAAGAGGGAGGTCTTGCTGCCCCAAATATAATTGAATATCATGACGCATGTATGTTGGCCCATACTGTTAACACATTAAGTATAGATCAAAAAGATCAATCTTGGCATCATATAGAGCAATCACTAGTAGAGACAAGCAGCCTATCCTCCCTGTTTTGGACAACAAGGAGGAATTTAGAAAAAAATAATTTGGTTCATCCAGAAAATTCGACAATTATAGATAGTATATGGAGATTCTGGTATAGATTTAAGAAAAATTATAAAATAGAATATAGATTATTCCCTTTTCTACCCATGGAGGTGATTAATAATAATATTGATGATATTAATATTAGAGGTTGGATACAAAAAGGTATTACGCACATTCAACAAATTATAGACGCAAAGGATCTTAAGTCATTTAGCCAGCTACAGGTAGAATTTGGGATTGAAAGTAAGGAGGTTTTTACATATTTGAGAGTTAAGTTTTATTTGACGAAATTCTTGGATATTCAGCTTAATAAAAATATAAGTAACATTAAGAAGATTATGGAAACATATAGAACTAAAGGTCATATTTCTAGATGTTATGAATTCTTGAAGCTGTCCCAGAAGGCTCCTCTTTGGAAATCTAAGAGTAAGTGGGAAAAAGATTTACAAATAGTAATCTCTGAACAAGATATGATAAATGCGATAGAGAAAGTTAATAAATCGGTACACTGCTTGAACATAGTAGAGAATTTTTATAAACTCCTAAATAGATGGTATATGGTCCCAGAAAAATTGGCTAAAATGTATCTAGATCAGAGTTCTTTTTGTTGGCGATGTGAAGATGCGAAAGGAGATTATCTCCATATTTGGTGGCATTGTACAGTTTTAAGTAAAATATGGAAGGAGGTATATAAGCAGATTTATAACTCATGTCAGCTAAATATACCTTTTACACCACAAAGTTTTTTGTTACATCTGGGTTGGCCTTCTATGTCCCCTGAGAAACAAATGTTGATAATTCATATTTTAATGGCAGTAAAGTTAGAGGTGGCTAGAAACTGGAAAAGTAAAAAAGAAATACAGTGGAGTGAAATCAAAATACAGGTAATATATCAATGTAAGATGGAAAAGGGATTAATTTTAGGTAACTCTGTAGGTTTGAAGAAATACAGTAAATGGGAAATAATGGTTGATAACTTTATTACTAACTATTAGAACTTATAATTCTTAGGATATGAGCCGCCCCGAATGAGAGATTGACTCTCGAGGAACTTTAGTAACAATGTACCTTATGGGAAGGACGGGAAAAGTGGATAAGTGTAGGATTGGTTCCCCGGGATTGTATGTATGTGTGAATGTAAAGTTTTAGGTATTTTTATCTACCTCTTTTTGCAATCTATGTGAACTATAGATATGAATATTTATATTCGTTGTACAATGGAAATGTTGTTTATATACGGAAACATATTAGAAATGTAAATGTTGCAATAGAGGAATTGATTGTACTATGTAAATTGTGAAATCTTGAAAAAATAAAAATATATATTATTAAAAAAAATTAAGTAAAAAAACAAAACATTACATACCTACACAAGCACTCACTGCACAAACACACACTACACAAACACTCTGCATTTATTATATACACACTACACAAACACTCACTGCATTCACTATACACACACTACACAAACACACACTGCATTCATTATATACACACACTACACAAACACACTGCATTCACTATACACACACTACACAAACACCCTTTGCATTCATTGTACACACACTACACAAACACACTTTGCATCCACTATACACACACTACACAAACACACTGCATCCACTATACACACACTACACAAACACACACTCTGCATTCATTATACAAACACTCTGCATCCACTACACAAACAGACACTGCATCCACCACATAAACAGACACTAAATTCACTAATCAAATACTCTCACTGCATCCACTACACACACATTTATTCTTGAAAACATAAAACATTCTGACTGACATGTATATTTAGTGCATTTACCTTAATAAAAAAAAAGAATTTGCAAAAAAAATAAATAATAATAAACATGTTCAGTTAACAGAAGATTTGTGTAGAAATGGTTAATTTAAAAAAAATGGTAAATGTACAGAATATCGGTAAGTTATCGGCCTGAAAGTTCACAGATTATCGGTATTGGCTCTAAAAAAAAAATCAATATCGGTTGATCCCTACTGTGTGTGTGTGTGTGTGAAAGGTGCTGTGTGTGTGTGGGAATGCATAGGGAAAAATGATTTTTTTTGTTTTATTTTTATTTACAATTAAAGCTTCATGTCCACCCTTAGTGCCTCCACCCTTCTTCTTACCTTTGGTGGGAGGGGGAGACATTGCCAACCCTGATGGTCCAGTGGTGAGTAATGATCTACAGCCTGCAGGCTATCTTCACTCCTCCCGTGAGCAGAATGTGGTGTCGCAGCATTGCCATGGTAACTCTGGGCTGGCAGGGGAGACAAAGGATCTCCCCTGTTGGAGCTGGTACATGGGCAACGTTGTGGGGCCCCGGGCAATTGCTCAGCGTGCCCATGCGGCAAGACGGCCCTGCATGGACGGTTAATGAGAAGGGGCACAACATGAAAAGGTGGGTTAGAATATGGTGTCAGGGATGTGAAGAGAAATGTTTGAGAAGGAGGAGGGTGACATGAAACAATTGTGTCACAGTAGAGGCTCACAGGAGGGTGATGGGGAGGCATGGTGTGGCAATCAAAAAAGTAGATAATATGGAGACAAACAGGTGGGTGATGTAAAGACAGAAGTGGTGGAAGATGGTGAAAAGGGTACCAAAGGAGGTGGGGGGAATAAAAAAATAAAAACACTTATATAAACTTTAAACCATATAAATAAACCCCTTTCTCACACAAGCTAAGACTTTTCTAATACACTCAATTACAATCCCTAAAGTCACACACGCATTGCTCAAATATCCTCCAGTGTTCACACACAGTCACTCCATACAACTTTATCCCTGAATTCATAGATATTCTCTACACTAAGACCAGTGGTGGGATTGAGCTGGTTCTCACCGGTTCGCACAAACCTGTTACTAAAATCTAACAAGTTCACCGAACCGGTGATTAACCTGGCCGACTGAGGTGTCAGCCCTCGGTCCATGACAGGGTAAGCCGCCGGGTGCAGGGCCCCTTCGTGTAGTCTGCCACTGCCTCCGGTCTGCAGCTTTGCTGGGTGCAGAGCTGCAGACAATGGAG